ATTTACTGCTACAATTAATAATTGTCTCAGTAAATGCCCAAACCCTACAGAACTGGTGCCTTCAGAGAGCCACTATGATTACATATTCGGCGTCCCTGAACCGGCTTAATCTACAACTGTAACTGCTGAAAAGATATACTGCCTTCAGAAAACAATACAACACGATGTATTAGCTTACTCTACACTGCATAGAATTAATAAACATTAGAAATATCTGATAATCTCAGTAATACAGAACAAGTGAACAAAAAAGGCTATAACATATTTAATCTTGTAGCTTTCTGATATAATATCACCAGCAGCTCCTTTGTAAAGGAACCTCATTGTCAGACTTCCCACAAGCTGCCTGACACTAATATTATGAAAATCTGTTGCAAGGCTCAAGCATAAATCTGTTCATTAAAACTGTCACAACATATATTTAAATTAGCTTTTAGTGGCAGTAAAATTATTATTTAATTTTTCTTGTTTAAATATTTTCTCTTTGAACATAGGACATATTGCCTTTTTAATGTGAAGTAATTTAATCACAAAGATCTGTATGTCGGTTGCAACTGAACTCCCTTACTAAACTTGTACTTGAAACTGTCAATTGTTATATAAAAGCATCAAAACACACACATTTTCGATTATAGCAACAAAAGCAGTATCAGACACCCTAAATGTTCACCAAAATGTTACACAAATAAATTATAATGGCTTAAAAGACAGGTATGGAAATTTAATTGATTTTTATAAAACAGTACAAACTACTGTATTTGTACTGTCTACCCTAAAAGCAGTTAAAGATTAGATTTGATATAGATATATCTCACACAAATATTATTTTTGACAGCACAGAAAACAGACATTTAATTCTCCACCGATAAGACATTAAAATCCATCTCACCAAATGTGTTTAAGTAAAACATACTCTGTCCTTTCCTTACACTATAAATTAAAGGCTCACTTTTAATACCAGGATTTAAACTTTAGAAAACATATCCATGATGGTTTGTATGAACAGTAGATATTTTGCTGAAAAGAAAAATGTATTGGAAAGGTAGAGGGGCTGGGAATAGTTCAGACATCACTGACAATGTTACAGCTTTTCCAATAAAGTACTACAGCAGAAACTTACAAAATTGTACATGAGGAACTTGAAGAGTTCTGTTCAATATCAAGCTCCTTAGTGGAGGGTGTTCGAAGCACTATTGTGAATGTCTACAGGGCATATGCCTATATGATATTCTATTGTTTTAAATACTTTGGTCTGCTACAGTGAAAAGTTATACTTTAAAATGTGTTGTATTTACTAATGGTAATTTAGCAGTTGGCTTGATACATTCTAACAAATAGTAGTTTAAGATATCCATATTGTTTAAGAATGGAAATTAACAACAAATTCAATAGCCATTTGAGAATAACTGATTTACCTCAGTTTTCTCCATGAAATAGAATTAACCACAAATGTAAAAGTAATCCTAGTAATCAACACAAGCAAACTTAAAACCAGAAATTAGTTATTTTTCTCATGAACAAGGCAGATTAACATTAACTGCCTAAAGTTAAACATTGTAGTACTGCTGTCACTGCACTCCTCTATAATACACTACAATGAAGTAGGAGGATAGTCATCTAGAATATTACTGTCTTTATTGAGTGTTTAGTGTTGTAGATACAGTATCATGCAATATGAAAGGATGCAGGGCCAGCAGCACACAAGAGAGCTGATACCTTCAAAAAGGTGTATGTTTAAATATCAGTCAGAACCATGATATCATGAAGTAGCTGGAAAATAACAGATAACGTAGGTAATTGAATAAATCTGTTTGCACATTGTCACTGTTAAATTGGCTACTGTTGTCTACAGCTGACACGTAACTTGTGCAGTGGTTAGGGCTTTTGAGTAGCACATAAAGCCAAATTTACAAATTGTCAGATTTTACCCTATAATTATAAAACCCCCTATTAACTTCTTATATTAACTGAAGATATTAAAGTATCAAAACAGTAAGTACAAGTAAATAAGATGACTGTATAGGCTCACTAACTAGCTCTCATAGGTGTACAAAGATTTTTCAGAGCAAATCATTTTTTCCAATATTTTTTATTTTCCAAAGCCGACTGCGTAAAGCTGCCAGCACTGTAAGTCAAGAGCATGCAAGGTAAGAGTTGACTGTACTGTATTACACATTATTTCATATCAGTAGCACAAAACAACTATTTTCATTGTTATTTCATCTAGGAAAAAATATTAGAGAAGGGCTAGGACTGGAAAATTCAATTAGCAGGGAACTAGAAGAGAAACACAACACCGCCCCTGAAGAACCCCTATTATGCAGGTTTCAACCTTTAAATAGCCAATTACAAAAGACTAGGGAACAAATTCTGATGTTAAATTGCAGTTTATTTGCTTACTGAAATAATCTACAGATAATTAGGAACAAAAAGAAATACACCCCTCAGGAACAAGAGCACCCTTAATGGAACAAATATTGCTTAACTGGTTTATACTGTAGCTTACTAAATTTAATCCCAATTATTGTAGGTATTAGTGTGACCTACAGTATAACGCTGCTGGATGGGGACTCTAATGGACCAGGGTTAGAGATCCCCTGAGTATATAAAAATAATTTAATGTCTGCAAGAATATTTTAAAAAAATAATTCTAACTTTATCAATACACGTATTGATAATATTACTGTACATACGTTCCATACTTCATAGATTCATAGAAGATTCCATAACCTGCTTTTCTGTTGGAAACTGGAAATGGAAACTTTCAGGTAATCACTTCACATAAATGTTTTAAGGAGACAAAAACTCTAATAACATCTTTCATTCCTTTACAGTACCTCAGTAGAAAATGTTTACTGAGCCTTACCTCAACGCTTTCATTTACTTCGATGCCCCCATCTTTGTCATCATCAAGCTCTTTATGAATATGCCGCAGTGCTTCCAAACTTAATCTGTCTTCTTCACTCATACACGGTGGTGTCACGGTAAGGCACGGATCTGGAAAAACAAAGTCAAACAATATAAAATCAGTAACAGTGCCAACAGTTAACAGACAACAATGCAGATTTTAGAACACTAAGGGCTTGTCAACTTGAAAGAATGGCATTTCTGTAGTAATAACTGTACCCACACTAGCAAATGTCGACAGTGCCCATGCTGTAATTCAACATAAAAAGGTACAATAAAAAAGGAATAATCAAAAAGATAAACACCTTCAGTTTTAGATCTACTTTAAGCAGGTTAAGACTGCTCTTGAAGATATTAATTTCTCTTTAGTCATAGTACTGCACTGGCAAATTCAAACTTAAAAGTGAAATACAATCAGAATTTTTCTCAAGAACAGATTACATAATGACGATGAACAGGGTTCTTATATTTCATCAGACTTGAGAACTCTTGACATAGGGAACACCAGTTCTACTGTACTGTACATCATCATAATCTTATAAGAGTCAAAATCTTTTGAAAACCTGGAAATGATAATGATAATAATAATAATAATAATAATAATAATAATAATAATAATAATAATAACTGCTTACACTTTCTGGACACTCCACTCAAAGCGCTTTACAGGTAATAGGGACTCCCCTCCACCAACACCAATGTGCAGCATCCACCTGGATGATGCGACGGCAGCCATAGTGCGCCAGAACGCTCACCACACATCAGCTATCAGTGGGGAGGAGAGCAGAGTAATGAAGCCAATTCATAAATGGGGATTATTAGGAGGCCATGATTGGTAAGGGCCAATGGGAAATTTGGCCAGGACACCGGGGTTACACCACTACTCTTTTCGCGAAACGCCCTGGGATTTTTAATGACCACAGAGAGTCAGGACCTCGGTTTTACGTCTCATCCGAAGGAAAGATGATGTCCAAAGGATCCATTTACACCAACTTAATTCTTTGGAAAGTCTGATTTAGGGAACTTCTGTCAACTGACCACATGTAACCTTTTTTTGTTTCAATTTGTTACTTAAATCAATAAGCACTAAAACTATAACAGTATTGAAGCCATTCCAGTAACACGAAAAAATTACAATGGCTTGCCTCTGGCAGCTAGTGAGGAGTTTGTTTTTGAAGAATGATATCCATGTTCCATCATAAGGATGAAAGCTACAGTAATACAAACATGTAACTCCTTTCTTTCATTCATATTACACTCCACCCTCAAGACGTATAGGAAAAAAAACATTTTTCCCCAATTAACTGCATTATTTAATACATAATATACAAGAACATACTGTATACACTTTTGTGTTTTATTGCAACCTAAGTTAAAAAATTGACTACATATTACATTTATTACAGTTCAATCTTTCACTTTGTAGCATCACATACTCACTGTCCTATAGCTTAATATACTGCCAAATGTGAACAGTAAATGTTAGGAACCTATTTGAAATGGAGAACCTCCGAAATTCAGTTTTGTTTTATACACTACTCTTTTCAATATGGTAAAATTCAGGGTTGTATCGGGTTAAACTAAGAAATGTTCTTTTCAAAGTGTCTGCTTCCTTAGATCTTAGTATTTTGCTTTAACAGGATTTAAGTACCCAGCATTCAGAATATATGCAGTCTAAATGTTGTTAAATTTAATACCTTTTAAAAACTATGACAAATTGCAGGCACAGGAACTTATTAATTAGGTCAGGCTATGACATGTATTTAGCAAAAGCCTTTTGATCCTCTAAACCACAATACTGCTACAATCTAGCAGGTACAGTAATTGACTAATTTTATTGAATGTGGATATTTAGAGACCTAGAAAATCTGGTGCATTGAGATACTGGGGGATCAGCACTTTATAAACAATTTATTAACAGCTTTTCCAAGATTGTATGAACATCTGCTGTTTTTTTATTTTTACTATGAATGAACAACACAACACTGACTTTTTTCTCAAACACAGGAAACAGAATGTGTATTCTTCTTCAGTTTAATGTCAACAGCAACTATTTTTGTACATCTAGAAGTGGGTGCACCATTAAGTTAACCTATGTTTCAAACAACCCGATACTAGTCGTTAGAACATAAGTAAAGTTATAATGAGTGCAGATCAATCTATTAATTTTGCTAGTTCCTAGATGCTTACTGATCCAAGGATCTACTAATCCTTCCACTTCTTGAAGTACCCCAAGTAATTTGCTTCAGCAACTGCACATAGCAGCAGATAACTTGATGTGCACTCCCAAATCCTTTGGTATAAACACCTCCTGTTTTTAAGTAGTGTATTTACATAATCTTAATAAATTGTAAGAGTACTGGTACATTTAGAAAACAAAAAAAAGTATATTAATAGCAAATCATTCTTTATCTTAGTAGAGCATAGGTGATTTAATTATACATATATTGTACTTCTCAAAGTCTTAATAGTTTAGTTATAACTACCAAGATTCCACAAAAAATGAATACCCAGTTTTTACCCCGGTACAGATTCATCATCAAGAGCAGATTTCTGTGCACTCACAGGACAAGCTGAAAGAATACAAAATCAGTTTGTATCTCATTAAACAGAAAATATCAACTTGTTAACTTTTTATACTTATTTTAACAGCAGACTAATAAGCAACTACAAAAATGATCTACAGTTTAGCGTCTGCCCCTGTTCCTTGAGTTTCACTTGTTCATCAAAAGAACTGCTTAGCAATTCAAGGCTTGTTGTTTAACTCTACATCTTTACTCCTTTAAAAAAAAACATTTTACTAGGCCCTAAAATCTATACTATGTCAGAAAAATATCTGCCTCAAAAAATTATACACTTTTTTTGTACTTTACAATTATACCAAATCTATTTTTATTTTCTTGCTATATACAATATATATATATACAGTATAAAACCTGCAATTACATTTGGAAGCACCAACGTGCTTTAAATATCCAATTATAGTTCTGCTTTAACTAGCCTTGTGTACAACTAATTTCATTCTATAGCATGAAAAGACACTCTGTGTAGATTGTCAAGTTTGCATGAAAATGTGTTAACTTTTAGGCTTGTTTTTTTAAATAAAACCTCTTTAACCAATTTAAAAGCTGGCTTCATTAATTTATTCAAAAATAAAAGAAATAAAAATAGATTATAAAAATTACTAAAATATGCAAGAACATGTGTTTAAAGAATGTTCCTTCAGGCCTTACTTCTAAAATTAAATCCAAGATATGAGATACTTTGAAATGGAAACATTGCTGCTGATTTCTGTGGTCTAAAACAAGATCTAACAAAACTGTAATGACATAAGTCAGGTTTTCCTTCCAAAAAGGACTTCAAAATTAGTCTGTCAAACTGAAGTAATTATAATAAATGATGGATTTATAATACATTGTTTATAATATATTAGAAGCAGAAAGGTGGGTCAACAGATCATACAAATTGGAGCACACAAAAGCTTGGAGGAAATCCCAAAGTATAAAGAAATACCAACTGGACCTTAACAAAACTCCCATGCTTATAAGCATTCAGGCCTGAAGTGACTATAAGATTATTTTTCTTCACAGATTCAACCATGGCCTGGTTGAAAAGTGGGTAGCTGAGCAACTACAGACTTGGTAGGTCTAACGTACTAGAAGATTACTCATCTAAATTTATAACACACAGTGGGGTCTTGCGTTATGCAAAAACAACTGTTCACCATTCTGTTTTGTTCTTTGTATATTCTTGATATAAAGCCCATTCAACTGCCAATTAACTTGAAACTTGATGCCTTGATTTGAATGACAATACAGTTTCATATAGTGATCAAAATTCCAGATGCCTTGGACTTAAAGAGTATTTAACTCCAGATTTGGTAAGCATTTTCCCCAGGATATTTGAAAACCCTTTTTTCCCCAAATCGTGGCATCAAAATTGATTGACAAATCCAAATATCACCAGTATTTGCATGGGGATAATGCAATTACAATATTGAACAACAGTGCTCTTATGTTCAGTAAGGATGTCTGACTGCCACCCCCTGAGGAATTCTAAAATTCCACAAAGAAGTTTCTGAATAAACTTGGATATAAAAAGTCTACACACCCTTATTGAAATAGAAGGTTTTTGTGATGTAGAGCCAGGAATCAAGATAAATCATGTCAGACATTTTTCCATCTTTAATGTGACCTTGCAACCAACAAAATTCAAGAGAAAAACAAATAGATAATAATTAGGAAAAATAATTGAAATTTAAAAACCTCCAACACCCTGTTTGCATAGCTGTGCATCCCCCCCAACTAATACTTTGTGGAAGCAACATCCATTTATTACAGCAGTAAGTCTTTGCGAATACGTGTAAGTCTCTATTAAATTTGCACACCTGGACTTTGCAATTTTATCCCACTCTTCCTTGCAAAAAAGTTCAAGCTCCCCCTGGCAATATGAAGATCTCCTGTGCACAGCCCTCTTTAGGACATTCCACAGGTTTCCTATGGGATTGAGGTCTGGGCTCTGACTGGGCCATCTCAAGACTTTGACCTTCCTTTTCTGAAGCCATTCCTTGGTTGACTTGGATTTGTGCTTTGGGAAGTTATCATGTTGGAAGGTGAAATTCCTCTTCATCATCAGCATTCTGACGGAGGCCAGCAGGTTTTGTGCCAAAATATCTTGATATTTGGAGCTAATCATTATCCCATCTGAATAGAGCCCCTGTCCCAGCTGAAGAAAAGCAGCCCCAAAGAATGATGCTTCCACCACCATGCTTCACAGAAGGTATGGTGTTCTTTGGAAAATGAGCTGTGCTGTCTTTGCACTAAACATTTTTTAGAATTAAGGTCAATTTGTCTCATCAGACCATAAAACATTTTCCCACATATTTTAGGGTGATTGAATGGAGTTTTTGGCTAAATTTAGATGGGTTTGGATGTTGGGAAATGGCTTCCATCTTGCCACCTCACCCCATAGCCCAGACATGTTCAGAATACTGGACATTGTTGTCACATGCAAGGATTGACCAAGAAAATTGCCAGAAATTCCTGCAGCTCCTTTGCTGTAGGCCTCTTAGTAGCCTCCCTGATACGTTT